GCCTGGAGAGGATGATGGATCGTTGCTGAAGGGGCCCAAGGACAAGGCCGAGAAGACGGAGGAGGAGCTTGTGCGGGAAAGGAGGCTAGTGAAGACTCTGAACGGAAGGATTCCAAAGAATCTCGAGGACGAGGAGGAAGAGCACGCAGGCGATAGTGATTTGGACAATGAGCTGTAGAAGGGGAGTGTGGAGCGTCGGACGACTCAAGTGCCAGTGTAGAGGAGGCCGAAGATGACTCCGATTTTGAGCTACGACCTGTGCCAACAGTCCTGGGCACGACGTATGTTGGCGGCAGCAGCACCAGCCACAGTAGGGGGAGCACAACAGTACGATCTGGAGCTTGATCTCGAGTTAAGATGAGGAGGATGCCAACCATGCCAAGACTATGTCTGAACGGGACAGCAACCTGGTCCACAAACGTATGATGGAGGAGGAGGCCCGCCGGACAACTGTTCCGATTCGCAGAGACATGAAAAAAGGCCAGAAAAACGTTGGGGAGCATCAACAGCAGATGGATTGAGCGTTGAAGGTCTTGGAAGATGAAGAAGAGGGGGGGCATCAGCAACCAGAGGGGGAGGGGAGCAAGCAGAGGAGCAGCAAGCAGAGGAGGGAGAGGAGGGAGAGGAGATGGAGCAGCACAAAGAGGGGGGGGGATGTGGTGCAACGAGGAGGGAGAGGAGATGGAGCAGCAAGAAGAGGGGGAGTACGTGGTGCAACCTGAGGAAGAGGAGATGGGGCAGCAAGAAGAGGGAGAGGGGATGGTGCAGCAGGAGGCGCAGTATGACGTGGTTAAAAAGGCCCACGAAAAGGATCCCCAGCCCTCAGCAACAGCAGTCTACACATGCAGGCCACAAGCAGTGGAGTCTTCGGAGCCCACGGACAAGATACCAGAATTCCCCGACATGAACGAGGCTGTCCAAGGTGACAACCTGTGGGGTGAGCAGGGTGGGCAGGAAAAGAAAGGAGCCATCACAGGACGCTCCTGCACAGCCCAAATGTCCCCGTGGCAGGCCTCGAAAGACAAAGACCACAGCGCCGGCCGCACCAGCTCAGAAAAAAGAGAAAACAGCACCGCGGGCGAAAGACAGTGGTGGAGGATGACCCAGATTCAGATGACAGCAGCAAACAGGCCTCTGAGGCCGAGGGCTGCAACACTGATTCCGAATGAGATCATCATCTCTAAATGTGTGCGTGTGTGTGTACGTGAGACACAAACCTCAAATCTCTGGCCATTAAACTTCGTTTCCGAGAGTGGTCATCTGCTCTTTTCAAATCACTCTTCTCCTGATGATTGCCAGTTTGGTTCTTCTTCTTCTTCTTCCTCCTTTCTTCTTTCTATTTTTTTTTCCAGCTTTTTCTTCTGCTACTGCTGCTGCTGCTGTTGTGAAACACCTACACCACACCCATTTACATCCCCCCCCCCTCCCCTCTCTCTCTCCATCAATGCCTCTCACGCTCTGTCAGCTACTTTTCTCGCATCACATCAAAACACTCTCTCTCTGTCCGTCTCTCTCTCCGTCAACGCCTCTCACGCTCTGTCAGCTACTTTTCTCGCATCACATCAACATTCTCTCTCTCTCTCTCTCTCTCTCTCTCTCTCCCCCACACACACCTCTCAAGCCTCTCACGCTCTGTCAGCTACTTTTCTCGCATCACATCAACATTCTCTCTCTCTCTCTCTTGCGCGCGCGCGCGCGGTGTGCAATGGGCACACCAATGTGCAGTTCACAGGCAGCAAAAGATCCTTTTCTTCGTCTGGATTAAGTGAGAAGTGCAGGTCCCAAGGGCCGTGATTTTTCTCTCTCCACCTTCTCTGCGTGGTGTTCAGTTAGAATTGTCAGGTCGACAGCAGGTACTGAAGGAAAGAAGGCCCAACACACTTCTCTTTTTCTTTTTTTTTCCGTTTCAATCATTTCAATGCCGGTTCTCATCCTCTTTTACAGAAAGAGGGAGAGCCCATCTCGAGGCACTCTTTCAGATCACTCCAAAGTGCCAAAGGCCAGGAGTTATCACCAACAGATTCAGGAGGTTCGTCATAACAAACAACATGCTGTATTTAGGTCACAGTTCGATGAAGAGCCAGCAGCAGAAAAGGGCGAGGCTCTCAACCTCCATACTGAGTCCGTAGTGAGAGAATTGTCATGCCATCATCCTGCAGTTTCCACCAATCAATAGCTATGGTCGATGGTGTGGAAAGGTCAAACAGAAAAAACAACTCTCGGCTGAGGGTCACTGGTGTGCAAACGTAAAACACCCAAAATTTTCAAAAAAAATAATAAAAATCTGTAATATGTTGTTTAGGATAGCAATGCAACCAACTTTTGGCTGCGGGTCACTTCACAATTCCTTATAAATTCGGAAATTAAAAAAAAAGACAAATAGAAAAGTCAAATAGAGGACGTTCTTAGGACTCGAGACCTCTTTCGAACCCTTTCCCCCTACCTCCATATATAACACCTTTTCCTCGCTTTAAAACTCATGCATACTCTCTCTACAAGGCACTCTGCCCACGCCATTCAATTATAACGCCCGGGCATTCTATTCGAATATAGGCCCGCTCGAAGGGGCGTTATATTCGAGAAAAGGTGAGTACAAACAAAAATCTGGTTTTTAAGGGCGAGTTGAATACAACGCCCACGCGTTATTTTCGGGTGAAGACGGTAGGTGTGAATAGCCCGAGGAGTCCAATGCCCACTTGCGGTCACTGAACACTAGGACGCCATCCCCAACTCAAGGCTGGCCATGGTTGGATGATTGGATACTTCATGGGATCAGGCGAATGCCACTCCGTTCGGGGATATGTAGCTCTAGCCTGTAGAGGAGCAGTGATACAAGAGATTTGGAGATCAAGACATGGGAGAGTCTTTCAAAGGGAGAGCGCCAATCCAACAACCGCCAGCCCAGATCAAGAACACCACTCAACTACCGATACGGGCGGATTGGATTGGTGGTTTCAGAAGCAGAAAGACAGGTTCTTCATGGTTCCTGAAGACATCGGCCAGAGGAAACCAGTTGGGGGCAGTTACGTTCGCAAGCAAGCTGGTGATTGCCAGCTGGCTTAAACCACCGTAGGCCAATGGTAGCAGGTAGGAGGAATTTACCTCCGCATGGTCTACGTGGTCTGTCGGTAGGTTCGAATGCTTCTGTATTTTAGTCTGCTTCCTGATGACCATTAGACGTCTCAGGTTTGGTGTCTACATTCCCTTCTGTCAGAGCGGGGTCTTAGCTCTGGCCCTTTAACGCCTTTTCTGGAAAGAGATCTATAAAGTCTGGGTGTGGGACGCTGACTGGACCCGTTTTCCAGCACAAGCCAAAGGTGGGTAATGGCCCCAGTGCTTCCGGGTTTGATTCATGAGGTCCCCGGCCTCGACCCTTTCTGCAGTAAAATGTTCAACTCCCCACCCACCACCACCCGCAAAAAAAAAAGGACTAGAGCGGCAAGACTTGGCACTGGGGCCATCTGCATCTGCACATCCTCGTAAATTCTAACTGGGCAGCCATGAGCGGGAGCGGGCTGTCATGATGTAATTTCATAGAGATAAAAATTACTAAATTAGTAAAAAAAATACCAATAAAGAGAATCACAGAAGATGTGGGCGGTGGGAGGTTGCCGGGACTATTGGCCACACTTCGATAGCCTACTGGTAGGGCCTTGCTCCGCTGCATGACACTCCAAGAGTCTAAATGCATCTGGACCTGGCAGATGTACAAATACATTCGAAATGTTCGATCAGCCATCATCAACTTCGATAGCNAATGTTCGATCAGCCATCATCAACTTCGATAGCTTACTGGTAGCTCCGCTGCACGACACTCTAAGAGTCTAAATGCATCCGGACCTGGCAGATGTACAAATACATTCGAAATGTTCGATCAGCCATCATCGAAGTTTCAAGTTTCAACCTGATGCAATTTCCTTTTTTCTTGAGAATATCGAGTGGCCCTAAACAGAGCCAGATGCAGATCACGAACCTGCGGCTGTGATTATCCAATTTCGGAAACATTTTTGGTCTCGGCCTGTTTGCTACAGTCTTATCTTTGAGCTGTGTTCCCGATTGTCTCCTCTCTTTAGGATCCAGGCTGGCCAAACGACCAGATTATGTATGTTATGCAAAAAAAAAAAAAAAAAAATGCAACCAGAAGGTTAAGAGCTAGAGGATCAAAGAGGAAGAGCTGGAGGGGTCCACGGGTCGGAACTAGGCTACCAAAAAGAAAGAGAAAAAGACAAGAAGAGGGTAGCAGAGAAAAGAAGGGATGAAAGGGAAAGACAGAGCAGGAGAAAATGAGAGAGAAAAAGATGGAAGACAGGAGAAGGTGGGAGACGATGGGCAAAGATGGGAGAAGATGAGAAAAGATGAGATGGGAGAAGATGGGAGAAGATGGGAAGGTAAGATGGAGGAGAGGAGAAGATGGACAGGACTTTATGAAAGGGGGATAGCGTCGGATAGGCTAGCATGGATTTATTCAAAAAAAATGACAAGAAGAGTGTAGCAGAAGGACGCTAGCATAAAAGCCAGATTTATTAGAAAGAAACACACACACACACACACACACACAGAGAAGAAGGTAGCAGATGGCGGATGAAAAGGGAAAAGATGTACGAGGAGACGTGTGAGGAACAGAGGGAAGACATGAAAAAAAAAATTGGCAAAAGATGGAAGAGGTAGACATGCAAGAGATGAGAGGTTGGAGAGGAAACGGTGGAGGGGGAAATGCGTCCGTATTTAGGCTAACGCCACAGCCAGATTTCGCAGAAGAAAGAAACAAGGAGAGGGCACCAGATGAAGGAGGGGATAAGGGAGGAAGACATGCAAGAGAATGGAGAGGGGCAGGAGTGGAATCTAGGTTAGCAAAACAGAGATTATGCAAAGTAAAAAAAGATAAGAGAAGGAAGAGAATGAGAGGGTAAGAGATGAAAAGAGGCAAACGACGGGAGCGAAAGACATGGTACGGTGAGGGAGAAGGGAGTACAGGCCCGCGTCTCTTTCTCTCTACCCACCTGTCCAGCAACTTTCACAAAAATAATGCCGGCAAACTGGCGCCTTCATGTCCTCTCGCGGAAGCGTGTCAAAGCATATCCAGCACGTGAGCTGTTTTAAGACATGCAAAACAGAGACAGAGAGAGAGGGAGAGAGAGAGAGAGAGACGCAATTACACAGACATGATGAATAAACCGACCAGATCACGATCCGTTTGGAACAAGTCCGATTTGTTTTTTTTTCTTTTTTACCACACATCAATCACGTCACCCAGAACCACTGCACCCGTCTCGTCACTTCGTCGACATCCCCGTTTCACCTTTCGCACCTCCTCTTCCATACGGGACAGTCCACATCATACAGCAACTACTATAGCAACTATCACAGCAACTACTATAGTACTACAATAGTAGTCGCAGTAATAACTACTATTGCAACTGCTATAGTAACTACTACAACTACCACGACAACTACCGTCTTCCCCCGAACATAACGCACCCTAAAAATGAATGTATACAAGCTATATTTCCGGCCAGATACAGCCAAAATGAAGGTGCGTTGTGTTCGGGGGAAGACGGTTAGTATAGTAGTTACTAAAGTGACTATTATAGTAACAACTATAGTAACTACTATAGTAACTACTATAGTAACAACTACAGTAACTACTATAGTAACTACTATAACTACTATAGTAAGTACTATTAACTTCCATAGTAACTACTAGAACTCCTATAGTAAGTACTATAACTTCCATAGTAACTACTAGAACTACTATACTATCATCCTGCGCGGCCATGGATGTCAAACCCAAAATGATTCTATCGGTCATGCACAAGCGACACTAGAAAGGAGAGGCAGCGATCATGACGAGAGGGAACGTCCAGACACAAAAAACGAGAGACGGTACGCCAATGGATAGACAAGGGGAGACAGAGCCCGATGACAAAACAATAAGGCGAGGAGAAGAAACAGGGAAACAAGGCGAGAACATTCAAAATACAGGAGAGCGCGACATCGAGAAGAAGCATGCGTTCTGCTGAGGCCGATCAGCGGGGGGATGACCGATCGAGGCGGATCGGCGGGGTGAAAACAACGGTAAATTTTGTTCAAGTCAGAAAGATGACGGCACCGAGGTCCCCACGGCACACAGTTGTGACTGACTGAAAAGACCATCAGCGCGTGAGAAGGATACCGCATCAAGGCAAAGACCACGAGTGCGCGAGAAGTCGACGATAACACAAATGATATCAACGGTCGATTTGTCGCCGCGTCTGTTATGATTGCCTTTCAAAAACGTTACCGCTGAACGACGCCCGATGTCGATCAGACCTCATCATCCCCATCATCATCATCACCATCATCACCATCATCATCGCCATCATCACGATCATCACCATCATCATCATCCTCGTCATCATTTTTCAGACTTCATCATCACCATCATCATCACCATCACAACCATCATCATCATCATAAATGTCACCGTTTTTCAGACATCATCATCACCATCACAGTCACCACCACCACCATCATCACTATCACCATCATCAGAACCATCGCCATCATAATCGTCACGGATTTACAGACCATCATCATCATCCTCATCGCTGTCACCATCACCACCATCAAGCATCTGGCGATGGTGACAGCGGTGAGGATGATGGTGAGGATGATAGCAACGCATAGTGGCTTGATAGGGGCTTGAACGAGCAGCACACTGTTCGAATGAGGATGAATTGTGAATGGCCTCTGCCTGCGACCACCTGCCACTGACAGCAGAGCTGAGAGAGCAAGCCAAATACCAATCATCGCGACGACCGGATCTCTTCACCTGCCGCCAATTACCAATACCATCCCCATCGTCTCAATCGGCATCAACCGAGTCTCTCCATCGCCGTAACATCATTTGGAAGTTCAGAAACTGGTTGATATACTACCGTACTGAAGTAACCTTTCATTTTGATGGCCGTCATCAAATCAATCATCATCATTCATCCCTTCCATCACTATCATCATCAATCAGACGCCATAATCACCAAATCAATCATCATCGAGATCATCACATCATATGACATCAACAGCTCTCGTCATCATGATCATCAACCACTCGCCCCAATCTTCACAATTCATCCACTTCCGCTATTCCCGCTCTCCATCATCATCATCATCATCGTCATCATCGTCATAATCATCATAACTATAGCCTACTCATCATCATCAGCAGCAGCAGCGTCGTCATCATGCAGGGCCCTGTTCGCGATCCCTATCAACCAGCCAAAACTATCTTCAACAACGACGGCTAGACATAGCCCTTATCACCAACCAACAAAACGTCGTCATCATCATCATCATCAACAACATCAAAATCATCGAGGTAGTGAAAATCAGCCCCCGGGGAACGACGACGAGAGTGCCACGTAAGCGCCATGCAATCACATGACCACGTAAGCGCCACGTAATCACCGGGGAACGACCGTAAGAGGGTAACGTAATCAACGGGGTGATCGCGATACGGCTCCCGTCCTCATCCCGAATAGAACGCCCGGTCATCATCACTGCACCTAGACTGAAATTGCTCCAAATACAGCTATAAACGACTACGTGTTCTATTCGGGTGAAGACGATCGTTGTCAGCCTCTGCGATAACGTGATCACCATGCCGAACACGTGGCATCGGCAGTCACTGACAGTTAATTCGACGAATCATTTTTATATATTCATTCTTCATTTTTATATATTCATTCTTCATTTTTATATATTCAATTCAAAAATGAACGAGGCTTCTATCTATTTTGTATAATAATAGCAATAAATAACAATACCTTGTTCGCTCCATCATACGCATCTCCCTCCACCGACCATTCGATGAGTCCCACCGTTTCTCGCACTCTTGCTTCGTCTGCAAACCACGCATCATTCACCCTACTTACACTCCTGCCTCATCCACCGCCAAAGCCGCATATTCCGAAATTCACAAAAACCGAAGGCGGAGTTGCGTCCGTGTTAGATTAATCAACGATAATTAATCATCAGCAAATCATATTTAAGTACCAACAATAACTAAATAATCACATACTGTAATTGTTTTTTTTTTTTTGTTTGTTTCTTTCGTTTTTTAATGGTCGTGCAGGCTGAGGTATAGGCAGAGGCCCTACCTGACGGCCAGTGCTAAGATCAATCACACTCCCACGACACACCCAAGGCAGAGCGAGGCATTCCAAGGCGGGAGACTCCCGATGATACCCAGTCCCTCAGCGACCCCCCCCCCCCCCCCCCCCCAAATGTGTATCTTGCAAGTAGTAATCATAATGTATTTTCCGCTGCACTGCCCACCTCAGAACTGAATGAAACCCCGACGAAACAGTCTGTCACAGCCCCTCTCGTTTGTTGTCCTCTTCTCCCTCCCTCTCTGCCTACGGTTTACCGAGCAGTTCTATTTCTATTCGACGATATATACTCCAGGCAGAGACCAGCCACCAAACTCCGTCCGCGAAGCAAAGCTCTCTCTCTCTCTCTCTCTCTCTTGTCACATGATATATATATCAGAGCGCAAAAGCGAAAAAAAAGGAAAACAAAAAAGATATCAGTTCATTTTTAAACTTCTTCCTTACAACTCCCCCTGTTCAGAACCTCTTGCGTACAAGGCCGCCCACGTGGATGTAGGTTGAGCGGCGGCTGCCCCCACATATTACGGTATATGACGAGTCGGTGCAACGCCCACGAAACACTGTCACAGTCTTCCGTTTCTTGTCCTCTTCTCGCTTTCTACCTGCGGTTCCTCGAGCAGATCTCTATGACTGCATATAAAACATACTATATAATATATAATATATAACATATAATATATATAATATATAACATATAATATATATAATAATATATAATATAGATATGAAAAAATGCATATTGTAATTCACGTAGTAATCAACACGCACTTTTTCGCAACTGCATGCAAGTCGTAGTGTGGGGAGGAGAAACGTGTCAAGGAAATCCCCGCCGATCACCTTCCGTCAGACCTTTTACCACCTCCGTCTCCCATCTCTCTCTACCAGTTCTAAGACCACTCCTCGTTCCTAATCAGGCATCTGGACACTGCACAGCCCTCCCTTGCCCCCCAATCGCCTCACTCTTAATCACCAACTACCCCCAACACCTCCCTCCCCTCCCTTCTCTCTCGCTCCCGCCTTATCCTCGAAATTGCCGCATGCCCTTCTATACCTCACCATTAAAACATCCCCCCGGTCCCATCCATCGTTTCTTCTCTCCCACTTTCCTTTCCAGGAGACAGTCCTCCATCTTCCACATTGCGGACACCTTCCTCAACTCTCGTCCTTGCATCTCTTTCATCTTCCACCCATCACCCCGCCCTATCCCACAACCTTCTTTTTCTCTCTCATTTTTTGAACCCTACCTCCCCCTCCGCCGCCTCACCCCACCTTTCGTCTTCTCCACTTCGATCCTTCGACACATGCTATAGTATTCACTCATTCTCTCACGCATCATCTGAGCCATTCTCCGTGTATTCATGTTCACCCCATCGTTCCTCTCTCTCTCTCTCTCTCTCTACATATATATCTGCCTCCAAATCCCCGTCTATATATAGAGAGCTCCCCCTCCCTTCTCTTTGTCCATCTATGGGACTGCACGGATCACATGAGGGAGGAGGTTGTGAGGAACGGGCGGACGTCTACCGCTTATGCCCGACAGCTTGTCTGCCTGTTTTACGATTTTACTTAGAGAGAGGCCTCCTTCGTGCTAGGGATGGCCAGATCCCTCCATCACAGGTGGGGCATCACGAAGGCAGCTAGCGAAGTTGGCACCAGGCGAATAAAGACGAGAAACACACTTATCCCCTTTTCCATCGCCTAGTCCCTCCCTTTATCTACCTCCCCAGTTCCCTCACACCTCTATATACACCACCACCCCTCATCTGAGCTAATGCTCTCCCCATCCCCATTCCTTCTGATCCCTATTTCCACCTTTCCTCCCCTTTTCACTAACCCACATCAACCCCTATACTCTTCCCTTGGGATGTCCGTCTTCGTTTCCATCTCCCCTTAAGATCAGCATACAACATTTTTCACAATTGTCCTCACTTTTCACCGACCCTACGACACGAGGCTTGTCCTACACTCCTCAGATCAGCTGCTCAGTAGTTTTGACCGCAATCAATCTCTCCATCCTCCCTTCTCCCCCTCCATATGAGGGTTCCCACCCCCATCTTCTCTCCGCCGCTCTCCCAAAAACTCACCACCATGTCTCCATCCTCCCCCTCCTTCCTTCCCAACCCCACCTTCGCTCCGCAGCATACCTTCTCTTCCAACAATCCACGCATGTACACGTGCTATATATAAGTCCACATGCATAAATATAAATGCACGACATATATACATACACCGCATTTTTACTGTACGGCAATAAGCGGCGCAACCCGAACGAATGGCAAAACAGCTTCAAGGCACTTGTGTTAAGCCTCCCCTACTTTCGAATCCTTTGGGCATCGTGTCATCGTGGGCAAGACGACCACCACGTTCAGTTGCCTTTTTCCATTCCCTTTCCTGCCAATCCGTGCACCATGATGATGGTGGACCCCCTCAGTATGATACACCCCCCTTCTTATGACGCACCCCCCTTCCCTTCCGTGCCAATCCGTGCACCATCACGGTGCACCCCCCTCAATATCGTGCACCCCCCCCTTCTTATGACGCACCTCCGTTATTACGATACCCTCCCCCCCTCTCCCCCCCCCCTTTATTGTGATGCACCCCCTTTATTATGACGCAACCCCCATGTTATGCGCGCTCAACTCAAACCTGCGCTCTCCGTCCATATTCACATAGCCCAAACTTTTAACAAAAACACCACGCGACCCGAGATAAACTCCCCTTCAGCATCCGCTCTGTCCGTTGAGACAGGCCTGCAAATCAGGCCCCCCCTCCGATCATGAGCTATATGTTCGTCATCTCCCCCGCTTACATAAATTCTCTACCTCCGCTCTAATTCCTTTTCCTTCTACCACCTCCCACTCTCTCTGCTATCGCCCGCACCGCGCTCAGGAGCGGAAAAAACCGCGCTTAAGAGCGGAGAGACCGCGCTTACGAGCGCACTTAGGAGCGAAGCCACCGCGCTCGCAGGGTCGATAATAAGGGGTACATCTCGTCTTCCTACATCTCTGTCACTCCTATCCGCGCAACACCCCATTTTCTCTGCGGCGCCCACTTTCCCCGGGATTTACTGTATCTCTGAAACTCCACACGTCTGTCTAGCGGACCCGCCACTTCGGACCCACACGCACGCGCGCGCGCGCGCGCATGTCGTCCACAAAGAATGAAGAAATTCCAATACCTCTCCTTCGCCCATCTCCCTAGCCCTTCCCTTGTCGTACTCGCAGCTACTTCCTCCCTTCTCGCGCATGATCTCTTACAGTGGAGTCACCCGGCGACCCGCGATCATCACAAGCAATCCAGTGGCGCCAAGTATTTTCAGTTCATACTACTCCCTCGCAGACCCCCATTTCGCCTCTCCCTCTCTCTCTCCCACCCACGCACCCACCCACCCACCCACACCTTCTTCCTCTTTTCCGATATATATCGTCACAAGAATATATATAATGCTGTCCACCACTCCTTCCCCCTCTTCGTCATGTTAAAGCTCACAAGCATCTGCTCGTTCGTCGCTCGGTGAAATATCGCATTGGTTCAAAATTATGTGCATTTTCCATCCTCCCCCTCGAGCCGCTGTGTATATTCCCCCTCTTCTTTCCCTCGCGCACACTCCTTTCTAGCCTATCCCTATCGAGGCCAAGTCCCATCTCATCTGTTGAGGAATGAATGTAGCAGAGACATCCGTATCAGCCTGCGCATTCGAGCCTGGCTGCATCTGACCACAATTACACTAGGACATCCCTGGCTGCATCTGACCACAATTAGGCCTGTGCCGGATACATCAGACCGAAATCAGCAGAGACAGTCCCGTGGTGTATGCTATGCTCTCCTTCCTTACTCAAGTCGCGCAAGTAACTAGACGGGCCCCCCGCCAATACGTCGCCAAAATACCACCCCCCGCGGTGAAACAGGGCATCAGCGCCAACAGCTCTCTGGCTAGAGAGCTGTAGCCATCACCCTCCCTCGCATTCTCCAATTCTCCCAACCCACTCGCCCTTCCCTTCTTGCGTGCGTCCCCGTCTTGCGCATCTCTCTCACCGACATGTCACGTCATCGACCGACCGCCCCGCTATCATCACAATTAATCAATCAATCAATCAAGTGGCGCGCCAAGTATTTTCAGTTAATGCTACTCCCACCCTTCCACCAACCTCTTTCACCTCTCGTTCGTTGTCCATTTGTCTTCCGTGGCTTATCCACTCCACCACCCCATATGAATTTTATCAGCTTCAGTGAACTTCCCACTATTTGCACCCTCAATCCCTCTCCCCCCCCCCCCGCCCTTTCCACCCACCTCTAAGAATTGTTCATCGACTATCCCATCGCCGACATATTCTCTCTCTCTCTCTCTCTCTCTCTCTCTCTCTCTCTCTCTCTCTCTCTCTCTCTCTCTCTCTCTCTCTGTGTGTGTGTGTGTGTGTGTGTG